GACATTCCCGCTCGAGCGGAGAACACAACGCTCGAGTGCCACGAACAAAACTCTGGACATGCTCGAGCGCAATAAGGCCCGCTCGAGCGCCAAGACACAAGAATAAAGCACTTCCGCTCGAGCGTGAAAACCAGTCCGCTCGAGCGTATATTTTCACCTCTCAGAACCTATACCCAGGAAGTACTCCCCGCTCGAGCGCCAACAGACCCGCTCGAGCGCCACCGCTCGAGTGTAAAGAAACCCGCTCGAGCGCAGAAATCACATCTGCAGAAGTTTTGCAGAAACCCGAAATACTGGAGGTATGCAATCTCCGCTCGAGCGCCAGAATACCCGCTCGAGCGCTAAACTAGAAACCAAACTCCGCTCGAGCGCAAAATGACCCGCTCGAGCGTAACACCAAAAACCTGGACAACAAGGATAAAGACCAAGGCTTAATCCACCTGTAACAACTCTCCCCAAAACATCCTAAAACTCAATCAAGTGGAATTTAAGGACGACAACAAGACAGATATCACTACCAACTTCATGGAACGGAGTCCGGAATACAACAGAATAGTAAAGGGATAACCGGGATCGCTATAGCAACAGCTTAGGTATATAACCCTTGGGTTTTGACATCCTTGGTAGTTACAATTGGTAACACTTGAATATTTGACCAAGGGGGGTTTTCAAATTAACCGTGGCCATGACTTAGTGGTTGGTTAGAAAATCTCTTTGGTGAGATTTTGAGTGTCACCTAAACTATTAAAATTGTTAAAATTATTTTAATAGTTGTTATATTGTTATTATATTAATATTCGTTATATTTTCTTTTAATTGTCATGATTATGTAGCAACCCTGATTTTTCATAAGTCATTATTTATTATTATTACTTTATTTTATTTTTAACTTTATTAATTACATGGTTACACATGAAAATTTAATGTGATATTTAATTAATTTAATGTGATATTTAATTATATATAATTAATCTAAATATTTATATATATATATACAGGTATTATATGTATTGATTTTATAAAGCATATTTATTTATATTATATTTATATAATAAAATATAATGTAATCATTAATTAGGTCCTCATAAAAGTGCTGAAAAAAAAAACAAAACAAAAAGAAAAAGAGGGTTGCGTGCTATACGGCGGGGAGAGAGAGAGAGACTGTGAGAAATCAAGAGGAACAACATAAAAGAGGAGTGGAGAAGAAAAAAAAAGATTAGGGTTTTATTTTGGTGACTCCATTAGTTTTTCAAATATTTTATTGATCTTCGAAAAATAATTGTGAGTGCAAAACCCACTTTCCTTAATTTATGTTTAATTCGTTGTTTTTATTTATTTATTTGATGTTGGTTTGATTTTGTATTTGTATGTAAATGATAGATTGATTTTAATTATTTTGATTAGTTGTGTATGTCAGGTTTAGGGTTTTATATGTATTTATTTTATGGTTGTAATCACACCCATGCTTATATGAAATTAAAATAAACTTAGAACCCATAAATAAATTCCTTACACTTCACCATAACTCCAAGGATTGTTGTTTTATTTGAGTGTTGGTGAAAAAGAGTGTATAAAAAAAAAGATGAGGATTATGAGATTTATATGAATGCCTTAGGCTTGGCATTGTTATGTTTGTTCTCATGAGTAGATGAGAGATTGTGTATATGTATATTGTTGCCTCGTTCTCAGGAGTAGACGAGTGCTTTGATTTATGTGCGTATGTATATGCTAACCATCCGGGGAGTGTGGATCAAACTCAAGATGATATCCTCGTGCAAGTTTGGCTTCGGAGCGGTGTTACGTATATGGGAGGCACATGGGATATATGTGTAGGTTGGAAGTGAAGGGCCGAAGTGGTGGAGTTTAGGCACAAAGAATTAATATAAACTTATTGGTATAGATTGAATTGCTTTGATTTATACATCTCAAAAAATAGTAAACGACCTCAATAAATTAGGAAATTTGTGCAGAGGCATGTATACGTAATTCTAGACAACTTTTGTGTTTTAACTTTTTACTAAAAAGATCGATTAGAACTTGTAATCGGATGATCTTGGTTACAACAATTTTTGTTCATTTTAGCAATGCAGATTTTAGATGCTGTATTAACCCATGAAACGAGCTCATTTGTATTGGTTTCACATGAATTAAAGTAAAACATTATTCTGAACACTTTTTATGTTTTAAACTTTTTCGAAAAAAAATCATCTTAGGGAAATTTCTTTTCGTTTTCAGCTTCAGATTTTTTCGGTTGAATTCTGTCTAGGTTCTTCTATCAAGTTTTTCTCTCAACCTGTTCAGTTTCTACTAAATTGGTTCACCTTTCCTTTTTAGAAAATTTAATTTTGTACAACTTTTATTCTTTGAGATTTGGTCAATTCGAATTATTTCAACATGAAACAGTGCATTTTGTTTTACTTCTTCAGCAAGTTACTTATGATTAAATTATACTAACTTTATTTTTTTGCAGAATGGTGGGTCGTACTAATTTTTTATACAGGGCTGATCCACTATAATTTTTATTTTTATTTTGTTTATTTTATACTCAATTTCTATTTAGTTGTGTAAGGACAAGAAACTAAATGCCACCGTATCTCGAGAAACTATTCCTTCGTCTCGATGCGGATGAAACTACTTGTCTTGTCCCGTAACAAGAATTAAATGTAATTTTGTTTGTGTCTGGTGGACACGTGGGTGTTAAATCTTGTACTCATACCAGTATACTTGTATACTGACACGTTTTGTCTCTTGGCAACTTGGGTACGTTGTTTGAGCGCAGCCGAGCTTCCCTTGCAGGATTAGTTGGGACTACGGTGGTGACAAGAAATAATTATAGTTGTTGGACATATCTCTTGAACTTTTGTTGTTTTCTTGAGCTTAGGATTAATATTAGTTTATGTATTTATTATTTTTTTTATGACTTTAGTATTTTGACAATTTGGCATTGTGGGTTATTTTCCAACTTTATATTATTTAAGTTGTTTTGACTAGTTGTTGCTAGTTTAATGTTGGAAGTATTGAATAGTTATGAATTTATGATAGATAGTTTGGTTGGCGTTTTCTCAGTTTTTTTAATCCCTTGAAATCTTTTAAGCATTGAAATTTACTTAAACCTTATGGAGACGAGAACGTTTAGATTTGTTTCACCCCTAGGATTTGGATGATGGAATATTGATTGGGGTTTAGTCCTAATTTAATATTTAATTGTCCCAATTTTAGGGTGTGATAATTTGGTATCAAAACTCTAGGTTACCCTAGACATGTGAGAGTTTAGGTAATCCTCAGATTGTGGAAACATGGGTTAGTTGATTTAGTTTGGTAGTTGAATGTATTCTGAGTATTTATGAACGGATTTTTTGTGTGTGTTTAACTTGAAGGTGATGGTTGGAAGGTATAATTTGAGAAGTGCTAAGCTCAATGGCACAGGAAAAGAAACAACTGCTAACACGGCGGCAGTAGAAGCGGCTACTACCGGGGTAACCAATACGGTGGAGGTTAATGTGGGGGAGATGATGGCTCAATTACTTCAGGTTGTGCAAAACAATAATCAAGGCCATCAGGGAGATCCATTTGCGATGAGAAACAAAGACTTTGGTTCTTTGGGAGGTCAGAAATTCTCTGGAAATAGAAAACCCACTGCAGTTAACGCTTGGGTTCAGAAATGTGAGATGGTGTTTGGTCGTATGCAACTCACCGAGGTCCAAAAACAGGAGTTGGCTACATATCAGCTTCAGGGAGCAGCCCTATTTTGGTGGAACTCGTGGAAGGAGGGTCTAGATTTGACAACTTTGACTTGGGCAGATTTTAAGACCCGTTTTGATCTGAAGTTTATTCCTGCGGCTATTTGGTCTCAACTGAGTGATGAATTTTTGAAGCTCACTCAAGAGGGTAGAACAATGATCGAGTATGTCACTAAGTTTAATGAGTTGTCTCGTTATGCCCCATACTTGGTTGACACGCAAGAGAAGAAGAATGAGAAGTTTATTAAGGGATTGAATCATTACCTGTCTAAGTCTCGTATTCCCTTTGATGTTGAACCGTTTGATAGAGTTCTTGACTTGGCACTGAAGTATGAGGAAAATGAGAAGCAGTTTAAAAAATGGAAGGCTAGGGTCGGAGAGACTTCCAGAGGGAGTCACTATAGGGGTCAGCAGTTTCAGAGGCCACAACAATAGGGTAGTTAGGGAAATTTCAGACCTCAAGGTAATTTTAGGCCTTAAGGCAATTGCTAGCCCTAGAGGCACTATTATCAGAGACAGGGTGGTCTGCGCCTACAAGGTTATCAAGGATAGCGGCAGCAAGTGCCACAGTTGGGTTATCGTCCTCTTGTACCTCAGTTGGAGGGGCCTCCACCTATCAGAGCAGTAGCACATCAACCAATCAATAAGAAGTGTTTTGGGTGTCAGCAGTTGGGACATGTAGTCAAGGATTGCCCTTAGAGACAGCAGGCACGACAGAGTCCGGCAGCTCCAGCTAAGGCATTTGCAGTGATGCCAGGAAATGACAAAGTGCAAGGCACTTTTAATCTTTTTCAAGAACCTATTAGAGTATTTTTTGATACTGGTGCCTCTCATTCTTTCATATCTATACAGTTTGTAGAAAGAGAACACCTTGTAACTACCTCATTGTCTAGACCTATTCGTGTTGAGACCCCTTTAGGAGGGGCAATTACTCTTTATGAGATGTGTAAAGATTTTGAGATTGACTTTACAGGAAGAGTCTTGTATGAGGACCTAATTGTTTTAGGGTTTAAGGGGTTTGTAATTATTTTGGGTATGGATTGGCTGCGAAAACACTTTGTTACTCTAGATTATGCTAGGAGGACTGTAAATATAGATATTTTCGGTATGCCACGGCTTACCCACACTTCTGGTGATGGAGAAGAGTCAAAAATGACAAGTTTTCTGTGCTTGGTAGAAATCCCTAAGCAGGATATTAGTGAGGTAGATGAGGCACGTGAGTTTGAGGATGTATTTCAAGAGATACCTAGACCTCCACCTCGACGGGTAGTAGAATTTCACATTGACCTAGTGCCGGGAACTGCATCGATTTCTGAAGCGGCATACAGAATAGCGCCTAAAGAGCTTATGGAGATGAAGAAGCAGATGGAAGAAATGATTCAGAAAGGGTTCATACGTTCAAGTAACTCTCCGTGGGGAGCACCTACGATCTTTGTTTCCAAGAAAGATGGCACTCTCCGCATGTGCATAGATTACAGAGAGTTAAGCAAGGTGACTATCAAGAACAAGTATCTGCTACCTAGAATTGATGACTTGTTTGATTAGTTGAAGGGGGTATCAGTGTTCTCTCAGTTTAATCTCAGAACGGGTTACCATCAGATGGGTGTGTCAGAGGAAAGTATACCACTTACTACTTTTCGGACCCGGTATGGGTTGTACGAATTTCCTATAATGCCTTTTGATTTAACCAATGGTCCTACTTATTTCATGGACTTGATTAACAGAATCTTTCAACCGTATCTAGATAAGTTTGTGATTATCTTCATAGATGATATACTGGTGTATTCTAAAAATAAGGAAAAGCATAGAGAACACTTGAAAGTCGTGTTGCAGACTTTGAGGGAGCAACAGTTATATGCTAAGTTCAGTAAGTGTCACTTTTGGGAAAAATAAGTTCGATTTTTGGGACATGTTGTGTCCAATTAGGGGATAGCGGTAGATCCTGAGAAAGTTGTTGCGGTCAAAGAATGGAAGCAGCCCACAAACCCTTCAGAGATTAGGAGTTTTTTAGGATTAACTAGTTATTACAAGAGATTTATAGAGAAGTTTTCCACTATTGCAGCACCCATGACCAAGTTGACCCGTAAGAATGTGAAGTTCTTATGGACAGATGATTGTGAGAGAGCTTTCCAGGAGTTAAAATAGCGGTTGACTATAGCACCAATGTTAACTATACCAGTACAAGGGGAAAAGTTAGCTGTGTTTACTGATGCGAGTGGAACTAGATTGGGATGTGTGTTGATATAGCATCAGAAGGTTGTATCTTACGCTTCTTGACAGCTAAAACCTCATGAGAGACAATACCCTACTCATAACTTAGAGTTAGCAGTAGTTGTTTTTGTGTTGAAAGTGTGGCGACAAAACTTGTTTGGGGAGCACTTTGAGTTATATACAGATCACAAGAGCCTCAAATATCTTTTTTCTCAAAACGAGTTCAACATGAGGCAACAAAGATGGGTTGAATTCATCAGTAGTTATGATTTCGAGATCCTTTACCACCCGGGAAAAAGAATGTGGTTGCATGATGTTCAAGAATGAAGGTCCTTGGAGTTTGTTTCGATGCATGATGTTCAACCAATAGAGAGTGTCGAGAGGACATACATTGGTAGTTTGACTGTGCAGCCGACGTTACTAGGTAAAGTTCGTCAGTATTTAGATAGGCTTCTCGTCAGCAAGCTCGATACCTTGAAATGGATTTGATCGATGATTGTCTTACTGATTGGTCTGTGGACTCAGATGAGGGATTACGATTTAGGGGCAGGTTGTGTGCACCTAACATTGTTGAATTGAGAAAAAAGATTATGGATGATGCCCATAGGTCCTGATATACTATTTACCCTGGTGGGATAAAGATGTGTCATGACCTGAAGAGGACGTTTTAGTGGGAATGTATGAAGAAGGACGTAGGAGAGTATGTTTCTTGATGTTATGTGTTTCAACAGGTTAAGGCAAAACACCAATGACTGTTTGGACTTTTGCAGCCTCTCGAAATCCCTACTTGGAAATGGAAGTACATCTCTATGGATTTCGTGGATGGATTGTCACTGTCTAAGCGAGGCAATGAATCTATTTGGGTGATAATGGATAGACTCACCAAATCTACTCATTTTATTCCTATCAGTGTTCACCGAACTACGGATAAATTGGCCAGGCTGTATATTCGGGGGGTGGTGCGACTTCATGTTGCGCCGATTTCTATAGTTTCGGATCGTGATCCGTTGTTTGTGACAAAGTTTTGGGAGAGTTTTCAGCATGCTTTGGGTACTAGGTTAAACCTAAGCACGGCTTATCATCCTCAGACAGATGGGCAAACTAAGTGGGTAAATCAGATCTTAGAAGATATGTTGAGAGCTTGTGTTGGAAAGAACACTTGCCATTGGTAGAGTTTGCTTATAATTATAGCTATCACTCAAGTATCAGGATGGCACCGTTTGAGGCTTTGTATGGGAGGCCATGTCGATCACCTACTTGTTGGATGGAGGTAGGAGATGCGCCATTGTAGACCGCCCGAACTCTCTCTGCGCGCCCCCCTTTTCGGAGAAGGCGCGAATTGGGTTCTAGCTACTACAGTTCGGACTCCTGTCATGGTTCTGAATCTAATCTCACAAAGTGCAATGTAAGACTGATAAATCACCAAAGAATCCAAATCCGGAAAATCGTTTTGGAAAATCAATTTTAATCAAAAAGCGCCAATCATGAAATGTTTTGCCAGATTTCAGAGTCGCCACCTAAATATTTTGTTTTTGGGAAATTTAGGAAACCCTGACTCGTGCCAAAGGCCATGTGTCCGTCATCACCAAAGTTGCCTCGGCTCGGGAACTTGGGTACGAGAGGGGAAGGTCCTGAAATGTGCACCCCCGCTCGCCCGATCAAAGGATCGGCCTCTACTACTCATGATATGTTGTTTTGAAAACACATGTGTTCTTATTCCAGTTATTTAGCTAACCTACTACGTGATGCGCGCAGCATACAAGTATAGACTAAATCACTCAATTTGGAACAACTCAACTCATGTTTGTTTTTTGAAAATGGTTTGAAAGTGCTATATGCAAGTAGGCTAAAGCGCGGATTTGCCACCCTCAAGTGGGCTTGAAAACATGATGATTTTGCCACTCCACAAAGTGGACTTAAAACGCACAATTGATGAATTGTCCCAATTCAAGCAATAAAGCCTTCATCCACAGGCATTCATGCAGTTAATCATTTAAGTAAGTAGCCTCATGGCAAGCATGCTGTCATGGCAACACTCAGACTCATGCAAGCATGCTAAAGCGTAAACACTTACAGTGTACTCCGACCCAAAACAGAAAAACAAGTTAGAAATCAATGCATGATCTTAACTATGTAAGATGCCTAATGCAACGCATGCAAAATGCAATGAGATAGGTTCGGCTATCTAAGATGGCATATGAATGCAACACTTTGATACATGTATTCAAATAGGTATTGAAATACAATGCAGTTTGAATGATGTGCCGAACCCGGTGCATGCAATACAAATGAATGATGCAAACATGCATACATAAGGTATGCTAATCGAAATATGCCCTAAACTAACCATCAAAAGCTGATAAGTAAAAGGGAGAAAGAAGTGGGGGTTGAAAGACATGCACACACACACGCACCCTTATTACAACATTTGCCCTCTCAACGGAGGGTCCGAATAAATAAGCTAAGCTACTCATTACAAATTAACCAATTAACTAATCTAGCTAATTAATTACAAACCAAATTGAAACTAGCTATACTAAGCTAATTAGAATATTACAAAGATGAATTAAATTAACCAAGCACATTAACTAATTAATTACAAAACCGGTAAATTAACTAGCTAAGCAAAGCAGTTAAAATGGCCTCAAGGGGAGGAAGACATGCATGCTCAGTTGGCTTCGCTCGGAAATCCATCGCTTTGCCGTCAATTGCCATTGTTTGCACATGCCTTGGTTTCTGAACATTGAACCAAACCTCCAAACTGTTTCTGCTCCAAAACAGGATCATTTCTGCACGAAATTGGACTAGTGGCCGGTCGGCTACAAAAATTGGCTGCCGGTCGCCTTAACTGGCCAGTCGGCTAGTGAAAGTGGCCGGTCGGCTACTTGAACTGGCCGATCGGCCACCTGCTGTTCCAAGCTTCTGGTTTTGCTGCAACAGAGGACAACAGAGGCACAACAATGTATTTTGCAGGGAAATGTGTGTACCGCCACACTCCTTATCTCCTTCATTTGAACTCCTTTTCAGGTCATTCTTGTGTCCAAATTGAAGCCGCGGAAGTAAGCTTTCCAATGATGATAGCCTCATATCAAAATTCCAACTGTGCAAAAAGTTATTCCTGTTTTGGTGAAGCCGCTCAGTTTCGATCCTTCCCGGATTCATGCCGAACTTCTCCCAAACTAGTTTTCTTCTCTCCTCTCCTATTTTCTTCAACTCCAAACCTT